TATTTAACTGGGTAGAAATAATATATGAAAGTTGTAGATAAATTGTAAATAAGTTGTATAATATATAATATGTGTATATTTGTGTATGGGATATACATGGATATCAATTGAGATACATTTGAGATACATGTGTCGTAAAGACATTTTTCAACTAATTTCGATTACGAATTTTGATTCAAACCAGTCCAAATTACTTTCAATTTCCCTCAACTTTTGTATATAACTTTGTCCAAGTATTTTCGATAAATTCCAGCCACACCCACTCAAAAACAACTAACAAATTTCAGATTTCAAAGTTGAGGTTGAATATTCTTAGATTTTTAATTGAAACTTTGTAAATTTTAGTTTTCTTTCTCTGACTTCACAAATAAAATGACTTTCAATGCTGAGACAATTGAAGTGATCGACTTTAATGATTGAATCAATTTCCCATTTAAAATTTTTGGGATGAAAATTCCTATCTTCGTTTAGTCAGGCATTAGGGTCAGTACATTATGATATATTTTGACTGTAAAATATACTGCAAATATGTTTTGACAAAAAGGAAGTGTAACGATGGCTCAATAATGATGATGTGCTATTGATTAGGAATAATAATGATGATGCAATGATGGGTAACTATTTAGAAGTAAAAGTTTGAGAAAATCAGTTACGCATATGTGCAGATTCTGGAATTTGTTCGAATCTTACGAATATTGTCTCGGTTTTACAATCTTTGTATACATTAGGATTATTATTTGGGATATGATATTAGTATACTGGATATGCATATTGAACATTAAGAGATGAGCGTGCGCTTGGCAGAATTTGTGGTCTTTGACCAGCCATAAATATATATTATTTTGTAAAAAGCTAAAATTATTTAATAAGTAAATTGTGGTGTGGTGTACTGTGGCGTAGCCTCGTGCTATGGCGTTGGCGCATTAGAAATTATTTCTTCGCTGCCATAATATATTTGGGGCATTGTGTATGTCGTCGTGGTAGATTTTGGGCATTGTGTATGTTGTCGTGGACTCGTTGGGGGTGTTCAGTTAATTTTCTGCACTGTCATTTATGATAAGTCCTTAGTGTAGATTGTGCTGAGATATATAGTGTCGTTGAATAATTTTTTGGACTTTATATAGTAATTATATGGTGAAAGAATTTATGTGCATATTATTTCTGTGCTCGTTGTGTGTTTGTATTTTCTAACACTTGTTCCAGAGGTATTCAGAGTGGCGGGTCGACGATCTTACTGGATTATATTTACGTATAACTCACTCTTTACCTGCATATCCATATAGATATTATTGCCGAGGACGAGGCTAGTGCCTAACGAGTTCATTATGTGGATTCTATTGCTGAAGTGAGCCGTAGCATTCTTCGTGGCGGTCGTTGTTTCAGCTCTACCTATCTTGTGTTTATTATTTCTTTTGGGGTTTGCATACCCGTCGGTTAAACTCCTATTACTCTATTAGATGCTCCATGGTCTTAGTATGAAATTTGGGTTAGAGATTTATTATTTGAGTACTCATTAGATTTTATTAATAAATTATGATTTTAGTTGAATAATTATTTCGCATTTAGTAATTTTTTGCGTTTGGATATGTACGTATTTCTCTCAAGGCTTATATAAAGGGTTAAGAGTACAAGAATTGGTTCGCCCGACGAGTGATCTTAGCTAGGTGCCAATCACGTCTACGGGGTAGTTTGGGACGTGACAACTTCAAACATCAAGAACTTCCATATCTTGTTATTACGGATGATAGAAAGGATTCAAATGCCAAATTTCTTCAAATGAAAATCAATTCTCCAGTGATTGCTGCTTTCCATCTAATAATTAACTAATCCATTGACTATTCGCTTCACCTTTCAGAATGGTCAATAAAGGAGGCATTTGGCGTTCTCGAAATTATCTCGTGCAAGGCTACCAACACGAAGGTTGTTCTGTTGAAATCATCGACTCGTGATAAGATATTTGCATCTGCTACCCCCAAAGTGAAGATCAACCCCACGAAGCCAAGTATTTTGTGAATATCAATATTTTTCGATTTCGGAGGTATAAAATAAATCATCGATAACAGAAGCAATTTAACTATTGCAGGTATGAAGTTCTTTAACTGTCTTTTTACTGGTTCTATTATGTATAGGATGCAGAAATCATATTCTCCAAAGTTTTAACAGTCGATGTATAAATGCATTTATTCAATGTCTCTGCCCTTTTGCCTTGCATTTCAGTTTCGCCGATGGAGACAGTATAACCTAAGACATCGAACATTTTGGTTTTGGCTTTCCCAACAGTTATACTGTAAACTTCAATGCAAAGGAGCGTTTGATGATCACAATGTGCTAACTTCTTGTGGTGAATTATACTAGCTCTAGCCGTTTCTGTATTGTTTGTCAAGTCATTATTTGACTAAAAGTTTAGCTAAAATCTCAACAACTACTAGAACTTCGAAAAAATAATGATGAATGACTAAGGACCAAGCATTTTGCAAGCAATATATATGATATGTAGCAACTACAATGTGGTTATTTTAATATAAATATTGTTCAATCACAATTAAGTTTCCTATGTGTCATATTTAAACTACGTCCTTTCCTCACAAGATGTTTTCTGATGGATAAGTCTATTTTCCCATGACTTGAATGTATGAATATTTAGTACATTTATATGTTCATAAAATAATAGCATTTTAATGCTCCTTTGTGTCTATCAAAATTTTCAAATAATATTCTTCTTGAAATGTTATATTTCATATAAATCGCGCAACGCGGGGTACGTATGCTATTATGGGTAACAAATGGAATTAAGAAAGGTGGAATTGTGTAAATATTTGTTAGCTAGGACAGAAGAACAAAACTGCAAAGTTGAGATTTAACAGTAACACAGTCATCTTCAAATCCAATTGTGGAATAGTTTTGTAATGGGATTTTTTTTCTTCCTATACAATATTTAAATTTATTTACCAAAACTGTCTTAATTTTGTATATTACCCAGCCTAAATAAAGATTACTTACAAATTATATACAATCCATTATTAGTGTCTTAAATTAAGGGATTTAGTTATATCTTTTTTCTATTTTCTCTCCTCTCCCCTTTCTATAAGCATAAAAGGTTAACAAAAAAAAACCTAACCATATATACAGATACAAGAGAGATTAATGGGCAATAAATTAGAGTCTCTGATGCGTTTTGCCAATAGCGTATACAGCGTTGTACGTTGTGAAGAATGAATAGGGGCGAAGATTCTGGCACGACGATTTTTATATATAGTCCTTGTGCATTCAAATGCCTCACATTATTTAATACTTTATCAGACAAAAAAAATACAAGAGAGATTGAAAACCTCTAGGTTTTGAATAGCAGATTAATTCTTAGCCAATTCACTTTATTCGCCCAACAAATAACTTTAATTCCTGCAGCATAGAGATGGCAACGATGACCAAGGGAAGAAAGCTTAATCTCTCAAATTAATTCTTTTTTATCACTATTAATTAGGGTGACTGTAACTGATTATTTTTAAGTATTAGGACTTTTAACTAGTACTATTAAGTCGGAGTATTAACAAGGTGCTCGTAAATTTAATTTTTTTTCGGTTAGAAAGAATAAAATTTCGTACAAATTTGATACATCTACAAATTAAAAAATAAATTTCGTACAAATTTGATACATCTACAACAATATATAAACTGAAAATAAATTTTATACAATTAATTATATAGTATACAACATATTTACAACTTATCTACAACTTTCATATATTATTTTTACCCGGTTAAATACATCTACTATATCATACAACTTAAATACAAATTTTATACAATATGTCTTTTGTATGTATTTTGTATATGATTTGTATATATTTTATATGTGGTGTGTTCTTCTTTCTCTCTAAAATTCCAATCAAAACTTTATCTCTTAATACAATTTTGATACATATCAACAACTTTATTTAAAAAGATAGTATTTATAACTTAAATATAAATTTCTTACAATGATTCATACATTATACAATTATTTTTCAATCAAAATCAAGTCTAATCTTCACCAAACACCCTCAAAATTGAGATATAAACTCCAAAGAATATTTTAAATTGTTTGCAACAACACTCAATTCAAACAAATAATAGTTTTTGAAAACCCAAATTTGAATTCAAAGCTTCGAAGGTTTTTAATGGTTGTCAATGGTGGAGAATCAAACACTTTCAAAATTTATTGATTGACAATTTTAATTCGAACATCAATTGTGCAACATGAAAGGAAATTGCAAGTTAAAACTCTATAGTAAAACGATTGAAATTCACTGATGAATTACATTAAAACTCTATACAGCAAGAAGACATAAAAAACAGAAAATATCAAAGAAAGAAAAATTGGGGAAAAAGACAGAGAAGGAGAGACAGAGAGACGAAGAGAGGAAGAGAGAAAGAGAGACAGAGAGAGAGAAGGGGTGGGTATAAAGGGATGGGAAAATTCCTTATTCAATTCATAATATAAAAGGATACTTATTTAAAATTTATTTGTATATAATTGGTAAATTGTATATGATCATATAATTAAGTTAAAACTTTTTGACGACTTAGAGATTTATGAAGTGCTACTCTTTTTTTCAGAATATTGATTGGTATCACAATTTTTCATTTGTCTCAGTACTTGAGGCGCTAATTCGTCTTTTATCTGCTTAAACTTCCTCTAGAGCCATAAATCGTTCACAAATGATTTTTTTACTTTCTTTTTTAAGCTTTTGTACACTCTTACACAAACATCTTACATTTCTTGTCCTAAAATAACCACGTAAAGTTAAACCATTCCTAACGCTTTGGCTAATCCAAAGTTGAAAATACTGCTTTTAGGATTTTGAATTGGATACATGTAAAACGAAATGGAAGTATATCTTACTCATTAAATCTTGCATTTATGTAGCGTAGTTGCAAAATTAATTACTAAATCAGAATCAATGGATAAAGGCATAAAGCTAACTACATTCTGACGAAGCAAGCACAAGGCAGCAATCACATGTAAAAGAATACCATGGTTTCTTCTTCTTTTGCATTTTCAACTTTGGCCAAATGACTTCAGTCTGGTGCAAGAAAAAAAAGAGACTAAAGTCTGTGAGACCTAATGATCATCATTCAAGTTACATGATAAAAATCTGTGACTCTCATTTTTCTTTCTTTATGATTATGCTGTTTATTATAAGAAACTTCGCGACTAATCAAACCAGCATACATCAGCTTGAGCGAGTTTCACGCTCAATATCTAAGTTTTCTCATGCTTCCACTTTGAAAGAGCCAGAAAAACTTCAGGACTCTACAGATTTTCTGACATGCACATTCTGCTGAAGGTTTTCTCAGGCAGATTCAACTTTAACTCCCTCATGTGGTCATTCGTTCCACTTATTCCCGTCCCTGCTCCATGTATTGCCATTGGCAGCTGGCAATACCAATAGATTGATGATTATTTGCAAAGATCTCACCAACTGTAAGAGATTAGCATGGTTTCTTTCTCATCATAATAATGCATAAAGGCCAACAAGAGCACAAACATCCCTTTTGTTGATCTTCCTTGAAAATTTTCACGCTTCTCCAACAAGTAAAACATAGAAAGTGTAGCATATTCAGCCCCATTGTCCACTTAATTTCTCTCTTCCACCTTTACGAACATCATGCAGCAGATAAAGCCAGCTGGAATAGAAAGGTGTCTCAGAGCAACACCTGACAGATATAAATAAAACTGTGTTATCAGCATATCAATGTATTAATTTCTTCTATGGCGGGGAGAGGGGAGGGAGCTTACCAAAGTTCCAGTTTCTTTGTACTAAAGAGTTTTAACAAAAGGTGGAGCATCCCTTCGTGGCCCTGCCACAGAACGATAGACGTACACCTTATCAGCGTAGTCATCGCTGTCCTCATCTTTGATTACTTCGACATTCAATCTAGGCATCTCTTTTGCAAGTAACCGACAACCATTCATGGTGACATTGCAAGCTGACATCCAAAGACACCGCATGGATTCATACTTGTCCAGTCCAGAAAGAAGTGCTGCATTTCCAAATGGACAATCCCTTATCTCCAGCTTCCTCAGCTTAGAACAGCCGTCAAGCACGCACTGCATACCCCAGTCACTGCTCCCAGCAAAAGCCACTGAAAGTGTCTCAAGGTTCTTGGCATACTTACCGATATACTCAAAGGTCTGGTCAGTTAACAGCCCAGAAACGGAAAGCCTCTGGAGCTTTGTACAAGTCTTGACCACTGCACCAAAAGCCTCATCCATGGGTTCATTTGTCAGGTAATCTGGTTGGCCAGGATTCATTATGCAGAGACGAAAATGGGTGAAATCAGGGCAGTTACGCACTATCGTTGCAACAGCAGCATTAGTCATTTGCCGGCAAAAATAGAGAACATATTGAAGCTTAGGACAACCGGCAGACACAGCCACAAAGCCCGACTCCGTCACCCCATGGGCTATATCCTGGTCAAAAGGGTCGGCAGGGAAGACTCGCAGTTCTTCAAGCAAGGGGCAGCTGGTTCCAACAGCCTCTAATCCCTTATCTTCGACAGTGTCAAGGACCTATAACAGAAAGATTAGGCATGAAGACCTTAAAAATAGAAAAATGGAATTACCAGGATAAGAAGGTGAGTAGAGGAGCGGCTATGAAACAGCGATTCCCCCAGAGGACAAACAGAGTGGGATCCTTTGAAGATCCCCCCCCCCCCNCCAATATCATACTTAAATGACATTAATTTGTAATGATTTTTCCCCCCCCCCGCCAAGAGAAAACAACCACAAAGCAGTTAAAACTTTATAAGACATATTAGTGGTCATTTTCAATGACAAAGAATTAAACAAAGCCATGACATTTATTTTTTATTAAATTGTACTTAGTGCTGGAATGAAAATATATTGTTAGAGACTACAGTTGTAAACTCCTTATTTTCCTCTACCTTTTCAATTTTACCCTTTATCCTGAAGAATACAACAGTTGATCATCAGAACAACAACTGCGCCTCTAATAGCATACAAATGGCACCAGTGGTATATCAGCTGAAATATTTTACATTCACCATACAGATTAAGAATTCACCAGATACCGTGACGAATGAATGTGGTATCTCCTCCTTCTATTACTAAGGCGATAAACAGGTAATATTCCTCTTAAAAGCATGTAGATAGTCCTGATCAGTCCATCATGTGAGGCTCAAGCTAACCTTAAACAGGAATGTACATACACCAGTAAATAACTATGATATTAAAGAGTAGTTCAATCCCAACTTTTTCTTGGCAAAGAATTGAGGATGATGTCAGACAAACTTCTTCTCTAAACTAGTAAGGAAGATTTTTGATAAAGTAAGCGATGTCAATAAAAGGCATCAAAAAGATACAAGAAGTACATGAAGGAAATATCAATTCTAATGAACACATCCAATGCTCTCTAGTGGTGAGGTTATTTGTTCCTCAGAGAAAACATAGGTGGGAAAAATTAAAGATCTCTGTGTCATTCCTCCACAAAATGCCAAATGTTAGGATGCTAATACCTAAGACTTCATCATGAAAGGATTAGTCACAGAGATATTTAGAGTTGCAGTTAGATCCTTACCCAAAGGCGTCTCAAATTTTGGCAATGAGCAAGAAGCTTCGATAATTCACCACTCCCAATGGTTGCATAGCTCAAGTTGAGAAAAGTCAGACTAGAACAGGCTGCATAAAGAACTGGTAAATATAGAGAAGTCGCATCCCATAAACCTGAGAGAGTGTGCAGATGTTTGCAGTTGCTGAATGCACTTTCAACTTGTGCGTACTGCCGACTCGTGAGTTCTTGATGAAAGGATCCTGTACCGAGCTCCATCAGCTGAGGAGCCCGGACAAGCAGGCGTTGCAATTGATCCAAGTTAATGTTCTTATTCACCTTCAGAACCCTCAGCGATTTGCACCTACTGACAAGTCTCTCTAGGGCATCGAAACTGATCTCACTGTTCAGACTGGCAAAGTTTAGCACCTCCAGTGATGCAAAGTCATCTGGAAAACAACTTAGCCAACTACCAGCGATATCATCCATGCCATTCTCCTGAATGTCCAGCTCTGTCAACCTCCTGCAAAGGGAAACCACCATTTAGATTGGTAAAGCAATTAAGACAACTGGGATTCATCCATAGACTGTTGTTAAGCATTAATTTAAGAGCGGGCAACAAAACAAGCTGACTTTTTGTTGCCTATGGAGAAAACCGTATTTTGCATTTTCTAAACCTTGATGATTTATTAGGGGTATCACCAGCTTAGGTGGGGTCTGGAGCAAGAAGAACTATGAAATCACTCAAACGAGTTCTTGTTATCATCATGTACATAGAACCTCATTATAATTGTATGCATCATTTTGATAATAAATGAAGAAATTTGTTATGTATCAGAGCCACAAACCAGAAAGTGAACATACAAGTCCTGCTTCTGCAGCATATAGAAATATGGGATGTGATATTTAGAGCCATCCTTCAAACTATATCCCCTTGGAACAATTGAAGATCATAATATTCAAAGATCTCAAATTCTCAGATTCTTTTTCGTTCAGACTCTCATAATGTAAAATTGTAAAGTTGTCAGCTTCTATGATTCGGAATCATTAAATGCAACTCAAGATGAACTTTTGGTAAGCAATTAGAATTTGTGATGGTATAAACATGGAAATACGTTGAAAGTGAGAATTCTAATAGCTTATGATAGCATCCAAAGATTCCACATTCTTAGATTCCCTTTGGTTCAGACTCTCATTATGTAAAGTCGTAAAGATGCCAACTTCTATGTTTGAAACTATATGATATCAGAATCCTAATCACACAGGCCATACATGAGCAGTAGCCAACGTCTTCATTAATTGCTTATCATAACATCCAAAGATCCATATTCTCAGTTTCTTTTTGGTTCAGATTCTCATAACATAAAATCGCAAGATGCCAGCTTCTAGGTTTCAAACTATGCGATATCGGAATCATAAGTGCTGCTCAAATGGAAACTTGGTAAACAATCTGGAACTTTGTGATGGTATAAACTTGGAAATACTTACAAGTCAGAATACTAATTACACGGGCCATCCATGAGCACCAGTCAATACCTTCCTTATTTGCTAAGAAAAAAATCAACATGACAGTCTCGTGAACCTTAATAACCCAGCATTGCTATAAATCTAGGGCGACAACTTGACAGCATATACTAGTTCAAGCTCCACAGGTCTAATCGCCAATAAAAGGTAAAGCGATGAAATGTACAGTATGGAGTCTAAGTTAAAAGAGATACTCTTTCTTGGCAAATAAGAAGAGTTATTTTTGCCTAACAATTGCATCAAGGAATTCTCTAAGTTAATGCTCATTAACAGGTCAATGTCACATCAAGAAAGTGACATAAAAATGAAGAGGAAAAGAAATCATAAACTAGAACCACTTCAATTTCCACTTATACTTTGTCTATCTTTTTGTTCTTCTTTCTTTTTAAATGTGAGAGAAGGCAGGGTGGTGACAACAAGATAACAGGCGTATATCGTGTCCCGAACAAAGGACATGTCACTTTGTTTCTTCACCCACATGGCCATTATAAATGAAAATGAAAGTTTCTTAACCTTTCCACATCCAGACACATGGGTCTACTGTTTTGTCCTCCATTACTACAATAATTAGCTTGGACCACCACGTAAACAGTATTGTTTCCTTTTCTCTATGTGGCTTGAATGAATTCTAAATCCACCATACTAAAACTAAGAACCTAAAAGATCAAAGCTAGAAATACCCAGTTACAGCCAAATTATAAAAAATAAAAATAAAACTATTTGAAGAAAGAAATAGAAGGTTTTCATCCAATCAACACCCATACCTGAAACATAACTGGTATAAAAATTGAAACTTTACTGATATTACAGTATCTACCAATCAGAAAAATATGAACTAAAAGAATTTGCTACTTGAAATAGTTCAGGATAACAATCAATGTTGTTAACAAGATAGACTTACTTGCAGTAAGTAGCAATGGATTTGATCCCATCAGTGCTAAATCCATCACAACTCAACAAAGAGAGAGCCTTAAATCCATGAAATGATTTAGCCAAAAACTCCAAACTCTCATCACTAACGGTCATCCTCTTCAACCTCAACTCCTCAAGAAAGGGGTAAACTTTGGCAAAAACATCAAGCCAAGCCTGAATATCAGCACCCCAATTCTCTGGGACCAAATTAAAGTCGGAAAATCTTGGCTTCCCTTTAAGGGTAACGCTCTTAATCTTGGGAAATCTTCTTGCTACAATATCAGGAGAGACCGAATAGCAGTTCCCGATGAACAACTTAGTCCTTGTCCAACGCTCTGCATTGTACCAATCCTTACAAACCAATGAAGCTGAGTTTCTGTCCTTGTGAGACTGCACAAGTGACAGCACCTTCTCCAACACCTCATCTGGGAATGGTGATGCTGTTGACTCATTCAACAAATCCACCGATTCCCTCGGTTTTTTCAAGCTGGGATTCATTTTCAGCTCCTTGTAGATTCAAAAGAGCTTAAATCTCCTCAAGAAAAAAACTGCATTTAAATAAAAACAATCGCGCAAAGTTTAAATCTTTACACCATTTTCAGCTCCTTGTAGATTCAAACAGCTAAATCTCCTCAAGAAAACTGCATCCCAATAAAGTAATGGCAAAGTTTTTAATCTTTAAAGCGTTTTCAGCTCCTTGTAGATTCAAACAGTTTACTCTCCTCAAGGAAACTGCATTTAAATGAAAGCAATTACAAAGTTTAAATCTTTATACCATTTTTGAGATGTAGACAAATTATCAACTGCAAATTACAAAGAATAACACTAATTTTCCAAGATTTGTAACAAAAAAATGAAACGAATTAATAGTAAATACTAGAAACTAAACCCATCTTGAGGCACCTGAAATTCAACAAGAAAACATCATCTGCAATCAGTTCTAGTCCACTTTGGTAGAGCTTTCAAGATAACAAATAAAAGATATATTGGTCTAAAGAGTATTTCTTGAAGAGAGGAGAAAGAGGGTCAGAAATAGCAGAACTTTCTGAAACACTTCTGAAAAAAGCAGATAGAAAATGACACATAAAAATCAGCTTAAGACCATACCTAGATCAAATTAAAAAGATTAAAAAAAAAAAAAAAAAAAAAAAAAAAANAGAAATAGCAGAACTTTCTGAAACACTTCTGAAAAAAAGCAGATAGAGAATGACACATAAAAATCAGCTTAAAACCATACCTAGATCAAATTAAAAAGAAAAAAAAAACTCCACCACAAAAAATACAGTCCAATTACAAGAAAAATCAGGAAAAGGTGGGTTCTTGAGAAAATAAATTGGGATTGAACAAGAATTGAAAAAGGTGTAGGCTTTTTTTTATTGCATACCTCAGTCTTGAGTGTGGTGTAAAAATGTGGACACTTTGGTGAACCAGAAGAGCCAAAGAAACTCTCAACCCAACCACTTATATTATATAGCAAACCAAATTATTCCCCCCGAAAGAAAAAGAAAACTTTATTGCATAAAAATAAGTATCAAATTACATAATATATACTATATTTTTTAATTTATCAAACTACTGTACACATAAAGGTTATAATAATAACAAAGTCCACCGTAGGTGAAGCTGACAGACATGGCAGGCGAGCCACACCCAACCCTCTCCAGCGTGGGGACAGTAGGGCGAGCATATGATTTCCTGACACGTGTACACAATCACGTTGGTGCATACATCTTTCACGGCGCATATTAGACAAGAGCCATTTTTATGGTGCGAAGTAACGGTAATGGGTAATTTTGTACCTTTCACCCCTCAATTACGATATGTGGTATTTCCATTGCTTATTATACTTATCAATTTTGGAAAAAAAAAAAAGAATGCCCAAATACATATACAACCCATCCAACTTGGCACCATTTTTTATTTTAGCACTCTATCTCTACCTTGTTTCATTTTGACCTCTAACTCTATTTTATATGTTTCATTTTGGCCTTCCATCTTTATTTCTTATATTCCACTTTAACACAATAGCTGAAACCAGTGCAAAAAATATATGTATATTTATTACACCTCAGATAACAGGCTATAATTTTTTGCCCGTATTTTCAGCTTTTGTGTTAAAGTGGAACATAAAAAATAGAATTGGAAGGCCAAAATGGAACATATAAAATAAAGTTGAAAGGCTAAAATGAAATAAGATAGAGATAGAGTGCCAAAATAAAAAATAGTGGCAAGTTGAATGGGCTGTAATGTATTTGACCAAAAATAAGGGAGAGGGGGATCAATGCGAATGAAACATTAATAAAAGTTCATAAATATCCTTACACAACCTCGTAAGTAAAGCAAGGAGGTGTAAATAATTTTCACCCACAAGTATATTTTATGCAATTTTGTTTGGTCCTTTCCAAAACTGGACCAGAAATAAACATATATTGTCCTCCAAAGTTCAAACTATCAATTTTGAGAGAACAGATAAGGAAAAAAATGTGAATAAGGGAGGTGAAAACTATAAAGATTAGTTTAACAATTTTTCTTAATTTGGAAGAGATAATTAAAAGTGCATATATGAGAAGAAAATAATGAGATTAGCATAAGGATATTGGACGAAGTGAAAAAGTGGCGGTCCTAAAGCTTTTGTCAGCAAAGATTGGCATGTCACACTACACATTTTGGCTTTCATATTAGAGTTTAGGTATTATTTGTATTTATTTATTAATATATACTTTCTTTCCCTTTTTCCACGTCATGCATGCTACTACTTCTTTGATGGTATTTCAAATAAAATTGAGCAATAGTGGTTTTTAATTACCCGTTTTTTAATCTTTGTTAAGTGAAATTCATGTCAACAATATCGAAATACTACTAAGTTTTTACTTTAACATCATTCAAATATTATCCAAACGCCTACAGACACTCTCTTTCTCCAAATATTTTACAACGAAATTAAAATGCTCTATTTCCTACGTATATACATTAATAAATGGAAAATATATTTTTTTAAATTGTGGCGTCCAGACCAGTTTGTGCGCGCCTTGATTTATTCTACGGGATATCTGCTATTTCCACCGACAATAGATACCAAAAATTCTATCTATCAAGGCTTGAATATATAGAGAGAAAAAAATAAGTAAATCATTGTTCCGGGTTAGAATTAGGAAGGAATTCTATTTTAAAAAGTAGCTTTCTGTATAATAACTAATTTTATAGCCAAGAATGCAATCATCCACATAGATACCTAACCTAAAAGAAGGATTCACGTAATTAAATAAAATTATATTGATCTAGTTCAAAAGTTTTCCAAATTAGGGTGAAAAAGTAAGCCTAACCTTCCAAAATAATTGGATGAAACTGGTAACAAAATAATTGACTGAAATCACAAGATAATTGGATGAAAATGAAATTGTTAACAAAATAATTTGTTGTAATTTTTTCATATTTGGTATTTGCGGAAAACGCTCCTAAAAAACAAAATTAGGCAAATGGTGGAAACGAATATAGTAGGAGTTCTTTGTTTTTCTTAAAGAAAATATAGAATTTTTTTAGGTGATTGTATTAAATCAAGTACTTTTATTTTAACAGCTAAAAATTAAAATAAGAACACATACCAATCCATTTTGTTTTTTATAAACATGTACTTCATCAATTGTGTTATAAATATATTATATTATGGATGTTCATTTAGTACTCCGTTGTAAATAAGCTTCCT